AGTGCGGCTGGTCCGTTGAGCACAAAAGTAAAAACATGTTTTGATTTAATCGGGCCCATCACAACCTCGCCAAAGCTTCTTATTCTACTCGCCAAGTCATCTCCTCCCCCACAAACCTACTCTCTTCATGTACCCAAAGTTTTCACTGAACCCTAGTCTCTACCAGAGATTCTATCTGGAATGTTCAGAGGGAGCAACCGTTGAATTGCAGCTACCCCTACTATTCTAAAGCTAATCAACAAGTCCCTGTTTTGTTAAGCTGATTAACACACTCCACCCCATTGACGACCTCCTCTTCTTAATTGTATTGTGTTCACGAAGATCTCAAGGCAGCAAGTGCACCAGGTCCAGGGTAACCGATATGTATGAAGCGCTGGCCAAATTGAATTGAGTCGTTCTACATGGAATATGAAGATTTTTGTTTAATTGCTTTGGTTCGTGGTGTGGCTATGTTTGAAGGTACACCAATGCAAACAACAGTACAACTCTAGAGCTATTACGCACATCAGGTAGTTGGGGCAATTAATTGATAATGATTTGAGATTATTCCAACAATTTCATAATTTGTAACGTGCTTTTATATTGCACTAATTAATAATGGATTGAGATTTTTCAAATGAGTGGTTTTACATGTTAAACTCTCCTATTTTTGAAAATGGAACCTTTGAAGTGGAATGGGTGTTTATTCTCTAAAATGCAACTGTATTTCAAAGTAACCCATCGCAAATGGTAGGTCAGGATACAACGATGGTACTGACATACGTTTATATCATTAGTAGGAAGCAGATTGTATCCATTCTACTATATCGTTTAGTTAAATGCTCAATTGTTCTTTTCAACTAAAATTTGTGCTTAAATGTTGTGATTGGCCTGAGAAATGTATGTCTTTGCATTAACTATTAATGATTGTGAGTTTTTGTTTAATGGTGAAAAGTCCATTTATTTACATGTATTCCCATGCTTGGATTTCGTTTTGAATTTTAAATTGGACAAACGTGTTGGAAAAAAGGCATGTCGAACATTAGTGTCGTAGGAGATTTGTTTGATGTCTCAGCGTTTTGGATTTTCTAGAGGATTGTTTGTTGTGACAGAGAGTCTCTAGAGCTAGCGAGGTATTCCTAGACGGGCTCTTCCATTGTTTGACTGTTTCTCACTTTTTTTCCTTATCTCTTTATCTATTTTTGGTTTTTGTGTGCTACCGTCAACTACAGGGTCTTCATTTGTGAGCCTACTTTTCTTATACAGCGCCTAAAATTCATTTATACTCTATCGCATGGTAGTTACTAATAGGTACATGTAAACCAATAGAGAGTTTTAAGTTTTATTAGTTGTTATTTTCAATATTTACTTACATTGGTTGTTTATGTAGTTTTCTTTGTAACATTTCATCCTTGTACAACTAACTATTGTGGCTACATAGTTGTATAAGTGAGGGTTGGGCATGATAGTTCTCAGAAGTATCAATACTTGAATGCTATTATAATGACCAAATCTTAAAGTTATGGTTTGCCTTCAACTTGCTTAGAGTATTTCAAATATGCTTCAATTGTTCCCTCTGTGTAGTTGACTCACAGAAAAATCGAAAATCTTGCTGACTTATGCTTGATTGTAGTTAAATTTAGGGTTGTACTACCTTCTTCAAAGCCTTCGGTTTAGTTGCTGGCTCCGAGGTTATCAGGGTTCCGCCCTCTGCTGTTCATACAGAAGTGGGTTATAGTAACTCCTCGTGAGTTCAATATTATTATTTTTCCAACAGCTATCTATTTTTTCACTTAGAAATAGTATGAATATTATATCATAAATGCATAGTTTGATTGCTTTATTACTGTTCAAGTGGAATTCATCTAGCTGATTTCCATTCATGTAGTTTACTGGTATGAAGTTGTTCCTCTTTGAATTACAGAAATATGTATAGGCGGGTATTTGAAGAAAACCCCCTTCCTCGAGCTTATCCCTTTCTCTTCTCTGCACGTGGTTTTCTTATTTTTTAGTTGTCCTTCCTGAATGTATATGCTAAGGTTGTTTTTCTTATCTGCAATTTTTGATGGTTTGAGGAGAAAATTGGAATGCCATCAACCTTTAACTTATACCATATCTAGGGGTGTTCATATGGTTACCATGGTAATTACCAAACCAAATAAGTCTAAATTCTATTAACCATGGAATACAATATCATAACCAAACCATCCAAACTAATACAACAACTAAATTAACCAAACTAAAGTTAAAATGGTTTGGTTAATTGGTTAACCAAAATAACTAATATAACATCACATTACCATTAAGTGAAAAAAAAAATTTGGCTAATGCATCAATTCTCAATTTATATAATGAACAACACATAACAAGCAACACATAATTATAGTTATCCCTTAAGTCCTTAACATAAATACATGTACCAAATATAATTATCTTACATTTGACTCTTGAGTGGTTATGCAAAGCATTAAATATGTGTAAATAATATATATTAGATATATGGTTAATTACTTAACTGGTTAATTTGGTTTCATTGATTAGAAGTGTCCGAAATCAAATCAACTAAACCAAACAAGCTAAAAATTTAACCAAACCAAACTATCCAAATACTACCGGTTAAAACGGTTATCACAGTAACCACACCGTTTGAACACCCCTAATCGTATCAATGCCTAATGTTTCCGCAATCAATTTTTGGTTGCTTCAACTTTCTGCAAATACAGACTTGCATCTGTTTACGTGGGTGTCTTTTGCATGATTTTAATTTCAAGAATGAGAAATTTTCCAGTTCTCTTTTGGGTTTGAAAATCTTTTTGCTACTGATTCCTGTGGTGTGAGTTGTGCATAGAGATCTTTAAGTCTGCATGCAACTTTTTCTTACCGGGATTGTGGACATTTTTGCTTATTTTTCAGTTCAACTTAGGTAGTTACATTTAGTTGAACTGTTGTGGATCTAGAGAACAATTTATGTAATTTATGTTGTTATGAATATATCCTCTACATAGTACTTATACAGTTCCATTAATAAATTATTAGATTAGAGAATAAACAAGTGAAAGCTTGAGGCAGTTATTTGGATGTAATGATTAGAGTCCATCCTCCTTTTGACATTGCAATTCTTTATTAGTTATGACAAGGTTTATTTGAATGAAGACAAAGTCATGTGTATTTTTTTTTACCATCTCGACACTTTATCTTTTAGCACATGCTGCTATCTAGAGTGTGCATTCCTCTTCCCAATCTATGAGCAGCACCCTTGGATCCCCACCTTGGCCATCACTACACGGAAGTACTAACAACATTGATGTTGATGTTGCTATTGTCAAAGATTGTATGTGTTTGTCACATCTTCCAGTCACTCCAAAAGAAAACACGATGCCAAAGCACCATCGCTCCACAATATTTCTCAGTTTTATTGTCATTCCCTTTTTTCTTGCGAATGGTCACTATGGTGGGAAGATAAAACAAACCAGAAGGACATAGATTTCTTCTTTTTAAGTGTGTTTCATGCCTGTATACTTCGCAAACATGCTACATACGGATTCTTACCAACATTTTAGTTTCCATCTCAATTTGAATAATTAAATTTGCATTTCTTTTGACTTCCAAATTTTAATCTTTCTTCTAATTACTTTTGCAACTATGTGGAATTTGCCTACTCGTGGAAATCTATTATCCAAATTCGAATTGAAGTGTTGTCCTCACCTGTCTGGTAGATACAATGAATACTTGCTAGATGTTCAGTTTAATTAACTTGAATAGGTCTAATTTCTGCAGTCTTCTTTGCTATCTAAACACAGAAACAATTTCACGTCACTTATTTCATATTCCATTACCAACTAATGACAAGTAAATAATGAGATGTTGCCCTCACAATATACATATACATATACATGAGCTAAGAGCATTATTACGTTCATACCAATAATTCAATATTCGACTCAGGTACCTACGACCAACAGGTCGGGTTATAAGCTAGTTAGCATATTAAGACAGGACAAGTTTTTGCTTAGTAAGCACACAAACCCACTTGAAATGGTAGAAACCACATAATCAAGGCTGCACCAGTAGCGAGGATGGACCATAATAAAAGTTCTTGCTTTAGCTGCTCAACTGGAGTTACCAATTACCAGCTGGATGCCAAGTCAGGACTTCGATTAAAGCAGGACAACCACAAGGACGAGAATCATGACCAACAAAGCGGAGAAATAGAGTCGGTAAGGGAGAATCGACAAAGTAGGGTTCTCAACGAAATTTCAATCACCACTTCGAGGGTCGACAGACAAGAAGAAGGGAATGGTGAAATAAGGCAAAATTACCTCCCCATCGAAGGACGAAGTCTTCGAACTCAACAAATAAGGGGTGAGATGATGTACATAAACGAAAAAGAGCCAACAATGTTGATCGACGACGGTGGAAGGATTTTTTTTTTTTCTTTTTTTTTTTTTTTTTGCAGATGGAGGAGAAAGAGTTTTTGGGCAGGCGAACGATTTCTTGTGGGGAAGGTGGCTGATTAGTCCCCCTGGGAGATTCCTTCCCCTTCCATAACCCGGGGGACATCATAGCTGGCATGGACAAGCAGATCCAGTGCGACAACTCTCTTTTTTACCCCTGTTGATTATAGACTGCCAGATCGTGAGGAAGGGAGATGGACGATTGGGAAAGGGGAAGCGAAACTCACAACCCCCAACTCTTTAGGGTTGTGACCCTATCTAATCACCATTCCCGCCCACAAAAAAATTGGAACTGATGTATAAATGTTTACTGTTTAGAAGAGCTTAAATAAACAGTAGAAGAAGATCGCCAGGCAACAGTTTTAGGCAAAGAAACACCAGAAACATGCAAGTCTACATGAAAACGTTAAGCATAAACAGCTGCAAGTCTCAATAACCACAAATTTGCTAAATAAGCTCGGTAAAAACTAAACCCATTAACATAAACCAAAAAAAAAAAAGTGAAGTTTTTCCCCATGCGTAAGAACTCTACCACAACAACGGCTGACGCAATGGCTAGGGCCAGTGTTACTGGCATAACTGCTCAACTGCCGTAACAATCTGGGCAGGCTGCACAATTGTGAATTCCTCCAGTGTCCCAGCATAAGGTGTCGGAACATCCTGTGAAGATAAGCACATAATTGGGGCATCCAAATAGTCGATGAAGTTCTCGTTGATTGCTGCAGTCAAGCTAGCACCAATCCCTCCCGTCCTCATGCATTCCTCCACTATCAGCACCCGATGCGTCTTCTTCACTGAGTTCCCAATAGTGTGAAGATCGAAAGGTTTCAAGGACCTGATGTCAATCACTTCAGGGTCGTATCCCTTGTTCACCAAAGTCTTAGCAGCCTGCATCACGTGATATCTCATTCGAGAGTAGGTCAAGATGGTGATATGTTCCCCTGGCCTAACCATCTCCGCTTCCTCCAGATTGCAGATGTACTCTTCATCCGGGATTCTTTCCTTGAGGTTGTAAAGCAGTACGTGCTCGAAAAGGATCACTGGGTTCTCACTTCGGATTGCAGCTTTCATCAAGCCCTTCGCATTGTAAGGAGTGGAGCATGCAACCATCTGGATTCCAGGGATGGACTGGAAATACGATTCAAGACGCTGCGAGTGCTCAGCACCAAGCTGGCGTCCAACACCACCGGGCCCACGGATGACGATTGGGATGGTGAACTGGCCACCTGAGGTGTAGTGGAGCATGCCACAGTTGTTTGAGATCTGGTTGAAAGCTAGGAGGAGAAACCCCATATTCATCCCTTCCACAATTGGGCGTAATCCAGTCATGGCAGCTCCAATCCCCATACCGGTGAAGGCATTTTCAGCAATTGGAGTGTCGAGAACCCTGAGATCCCCAAACTTGTCAGCTAGCCCTCTGGTCACCTTGTAGGAACCTCCATAGTGACCCACATCTTCCCCCATGACACAAACCCGATTATCTCTGTCCATTTCTTCTTCTAGCCCTTCTCGTAGGGCCTCAAAAAGCAGAAGTTCATGTCTGGTTATAGAAAGATTGAGATAAGCAATTCAGGAGAAGAAAGTTTAAGAGTCATAAGGAACAGAAAAGCAGATCCCATCATAGACATGGCAACTGAAAGCATATTGTGCAGTATGTATCAGTTTCAAAACGTTAGTGGAAGTGCACCTCAGAGAACTCATGGAAAGGCTATGGCATGAAAATGTTTTGGTAAGCATTTGTTTTAGGTTGCATATATTGTTGGTCATCTATTTCTCTAAGACACTTTGAAATTCTTTTTAAAAAAGGAACCAGCAAAATCAAGTGGCTTGACAACCAACTACTGGAGAATGTGTTTCTATGACATTTCTTCATAAACCACAATATATCAAATGATTCGAGCATCGTAATTTTCTTAAGAAACGATTGCATGAACACAAGCCTCCGGATGTTGTAAGCTTCGAGGAAGGGGGTATTGTAAATGCTCTATTTGTTGCCAGGGAAAAGTTATATAAGTGACCAATAATCTCTCTAAAAGTACGATACATTCATCTGTTAGCCAATGTTTCTACAACATCACATTGAGGCAGGCAACTTTCATAATTATTGTGTGGGGACAGAAATTATACAACTGACAATGATGCAATCCGGTTTTCTAGCATAAAAGTGTTTCAGTTTGCTGTTCTAGTACGAAAACAATTTCCCCAAGATAACAAACGATACGATCAAACAGCTACAAGTGGTTGCAATTATTCACAGTTTTACTATCATAAGTAGAAGCATACCCGGGTTTAGATGCAGATGATGCTGCAGCCGCATCGGCCTTAGTCTGGAAAAAACAGAAAACAAAGCATGAAAATTTAAGGTCATCCCACTTAAGCTGCTCCTACAAAATGCTCAAACATCATGACTGGTAGAACTGGTTTGTTGAAAGGAGGGAAACACTTACAGCAACAGCATTGGTAACTAACTGGTCAAGCCTGCGAGCTCCAGCACTAGAGCCCGTGTTCAAGTTCAGACTACCATCACATCTAACCACAACCAAGCTTGTTTTCTTGCCTGAATCAAACAAAGCACCCTCCCCAAGTTAGGAAATAAGCTAGCCAGGATGTTGATTGTCGGCTAAACCTACAAAAGTTGTGTTCTTTTCCACAACGACAGACAGATAAACAAATGCAGGGCAAAGGGAAGAAACGAATCAGACTTTTTCACAAGCGCCAATGGGCGGAGAATCCACCGAGAACAAAAATGAATTAACAAACCACCAGAAAACAAAAGCAAGGCTGAAAAGGGTAAAAATAGGTTCATCAATGGGCCGTGTTAAAGACACAAATAAGCTGTCAAACCCTTCAATCGAAGCGCTGACTGGACACAATGAACTTCGAGGTTTACGCAAAGCCCAAAGGGATAGTGCATCCATATTCAAATCACTCCACGAATCAAATCACAGCTCAATTTTGAAAATTGGTAGCTATTCAATAATTAAAATCACAAAGTAAATCAGCGTCGAACAAGTGGGCAGGCTCAAAATGAAGCAGAGGAATGAAAGGGGCAAGACTCAGGAGCAATACCTGGGAAGGATCTCCTCGAGGAGAGAAGTAACTTGTTGGAATCGAGGGGATTGGCGGCGGCAGTAATTGCAGCAGTAGCTCCCAATCCCTGGAAAACAGTCGCCATTTCCGGGAACTTGACTGGCAGCGGATTGGGAACGAGGAGAAGAAAATGCAGAGCGGAGGCAGAGAGTGGACGGGAGGGATTTGCCCGAGGGAACTTATTAATAAAAGGGGGAATTGAGCAAAATTGTCGAGAACAAGAGAGAGGAGGCGGAGACGCCGAGGCTGCTGCGACAAAAATGCGTGCTATTAGTTAGTAGCTGGTAAGCTGTCAGTTGAACTAAGTTTGTGTGTTTCTTCCGGAGGAGAGAGTGTTGGCGATTATTTTGAAGCCAAAAGCTTTTCCCGTTTTTAGATTTCATCGGTTCCTTCAAGCTTCAAGCTTGGTGCTCGTTTGCTTGTTGGATTTGAAAATAAAAATTTTTAGTTTTTAAAACCTTTGAATTTATGATGGATTTATTTCATTTGGTATTTGAAAGAAATGAGTTCTTAAACACTCAAAACAAGCACACAAATGCAGCCGTCACAACAGGCATAGACAGCAACTTCCACAAAACCCCCTAAATTGACTTAAGGCATGGCCTATTGGACTAGGGAGGGATTGCACACCTAAGGAAATATATATGTGAAAGAGGGTGCGAAACATCCACAACAAAAATACATAAGCAACTTAACATGGTCATATGCAACAAACAAGCAGTAATTCATCTAGAAGAGCAAATACGACGAATTTGTCATACTCGATCCTAGATTATCAAATCGTCACTCAAATTAGACACTTAACATTAGTTTGCCAATCGAATCAGCATGAACATGATGAATGATAAATGCTAAATTATCATACTTGATCCTAGATTATCAAATCGATTAATAATCTTAATTCCTAACTTTTGAATTCAACATTCAATTAGGAAACAGCAAATCGGGCATGAAGAGTAGTTACAAAACACTATAGAGGATTAAAATCATGTTCAATGGGAAGAAGAAAGGGGGAGTTCGATCGAAATTGAGAGATCTCCAATTAGTGTTTCAAACCCTTGAACCAGCTCGAGATCTGAAATTTCAATCCCAAATCCACATTTGATGCATGAAATAGATGCTAATTAATAAATATATTTGTGGTGATTAGGAATGGCAACCGAACTGGCACTTACCCATCTCGACTTGATCAAACCAAATAAAACCCAATGTTACCTGGACTTGGATTGGTTCGGGCAAACACATAATCAAAATTGTATGCCTGGGTTGGGTGGAAGTTTGAACAATACCCAGCCCAAACCTGCCTTAAGAGTTTAGTTTAGCCATTTTGTACCGGATAATGTTCAAAGCACGAAATAGTATCGGCTGGTAATAACGAAACCAAAAGGGAAACAAAACTTATGGTAGATTGCGCATAATCAGATAGGACGAATCCATAAGGAAAATACTGGCCCAAGGAAGTTGTGGAGGATCATTATGAAAGAGTGCTCTCATGTCAAGTAGATCATGTCGAGTCCTTTCAATTTTGAACTTTACTTTGGAGGAGTATATATGTTGGGTACATAGTTAAGCGGTATTGGGTTTTAGAGTCTAAGGAAAGCGAACATGCCCGGCCCATGGGAAGGCCCAGGAGTAGCGCGGTCGTACGCAATGAAGTAGGTTAGGCGGTCACTCTAGAGACAAGACAGTCATAGATCGCCTGACATAAAACACTCATGGTAACAAGAGGGAGAGATCATCTAAGATACTTACCTCGACGCAAGCAAGACTAAGCATTAATTAGTCGTTGTAGGCGACCTATAATAGGGCACAGGGGCGGAGCTAGGATTTAGTTTTCGGGGGGCCGGAATCCGGTTAACGTAAAGGACGAAAAATACTAATAAACAAATTTTTTAAAAAATTAATTATACACACAATATTTTTCATATTAAATTCAATATAAATTAGAATAATATGAAGAAATTAACAACACATTTCAATTTTGTGTGGTATATTTTGATTTCATAACTAAAAAGTTAAGCTCTACGGATATTATTATCCAAAAGTACTTATTATATATCTGAAAGTAACCTTAGAATTGATATAATATTAAATTAAAATTTAATGAACCAAAATATGAGGGGGAAAGGAAATTGTATATCGTAGCTTTAAATAGGGTGAAAGAATTGACCATCTATTTAAGTGAAAAATACAAAGAAAAATATAAAAATTGCTTTCCAAAGGGATCGAACCCTTACTCAGGCACCCAATAGAGCATAAATATAGTTTCCTTCTGCTGGACTACATCTGTTTTCCTTGTATAATTCCTCATGTCAGTGTTTATTTGTACATTCCTTTTAATTTATACGTATAGTCTCGAACTTTTTACACGTAACTTCCCCCCCCCCCCCCCCCCCCCGAGGACGAAGCTTGCTCCGCCCCTGATAGGGCAGTAGATGATTAGGGCGCCTGACAGAGCATTTAATGCTCTATACTTCACTTAACCTAGTATAAATACCTCCATGCTAGCATTGATGGTAACTCAACTGCTTTCCTTCTCTCTAAACATAACATATATTCTCGGGATTTTTCCAGGAATAGCACTGTTTTAAACAAAAATTCCAAAAATAGCACCAAACCCCGAAAAATTCCAAAAATAGCACCCTTTCCCAAAAACCGCCACCCAAACCAGCGGTTTAGGAGAAAACCGCAACCCGAGGGCGCGTTTTTTGATGAAAACCGCACTGGTAGGGGCGGTTTTGCAAATCGCATGGGGTCGTGGCAGTTTGGTTGCAAACCGCATCCCACCATGCGATTTGGTTGCAAACCGCACCCTCACCATGCGGTTTTTGTCTCTTTTTTTTTTTTTTTTGAAAAATCCTAACCTAGGTGGAAACTTCAAACGAACGTATCTTTGTGTTCGGGTATCCGATTGTCGCGATTTTTTTTATTCCGCATAACTTTTCGAGATCTTGCAAGCCTTAAAATGTCAAAGGTGGTTTGGTCCCGCCTTCGTCCCCAAAAAATGTCGTTTGCTACCCCGAACGAGCTTTTTTCCGATTTCGTCAAACTTTGGACAACCATAACTTTGTGCTCCAAAATCCAAACGACATGAATTTTTTTTATTTTGCATAACTTTTTAAGGAATACAACTTTTATCATAGACATAATTTCGAAATGTACGTGGATTGCTGAAAAGGGAAGGTAAGCTATTACCAAAATCCTGTATATCCAAAAATAATTCATGTTTTGAAAATTCATTCCTAGTAAAAATTGTAGTCCTTAAAAATTTATGCAAAATTGAAAAAAAAAAATCATGACGTTTGGATTTTGGAGCACAAAGTTATGGTTGTTTAAAGTTATTGAGGATTTTTAGCTTTCAAGGAGTAAAACTTTGTCAATATATTATTATTTCAAGAGAAGAGTTGTAGTTGAGTGGTGTAGATGTTGTGCTAAATTTAGAAAACTATTTATTATCTAGGTTCAAACCACCACTCCCACAACATGTTTTTTTTTTTAATCTCTAAAAAATAAAAATAAAATTCATATGGGATGGTGGGGATTCGAACCCAGGGCTTCTTGCACATAATAAACAACTAAACCACGTGTGACATTTATTTTGAAGAAAAAAATATATATTACAAACTGCATGATGGGGGTGCGGTTTGCAACCAAATCGCACCGACCCCATGCGGTTTGCAAAACCGCACTCATCGAAAAAGTGCCCCGGGTGGCGGTTTTTGCCTAAACCATTGGTTAGGGTGGCGGTTTTTGGGAAAGGGTGCTATTTTTGTAATTTTTCGGGATTGGGTGCTATTTTTGGAAAAAAAAATTAAACAATGCTATTTCTGGAAAAATCCTCATATTCTCTCCCTAACTTAAGCATTGGAGGGTGTCCTAGGCGACCGTCCACAGACCCTTGTTTTGCAGGGTTCAGGAGCACTACCCACCATCAAAAACATAAGCTTCGCTCGTGTCTCGTCAAACCGCCTAGTACATTCTAGGCTCAAACAATTTGGCGCCCATCGTGGGGGCATAGAGCGAGACACTGAAGAAATGATGGATGGGAACTACGAAACTCCAATCAAAGGTGTGATAGGAAGAGAGAGCATTCGTGGTTTAGAAATGCCAACTATGGAAGAAGAGATGGAAATAGAAGACCACCTAAAGAGTCAGGGGCAGCAAATATCCAGCATGCAAGAAAGCCTCAGCCAAATTCTTGACATGCTCAAGACAAAAGATACACCCAAGAATACTAAGAAACGCCTGAAAGCTCAAGAAAACAAAGGGCCAAAGGCAAAGAAACAAGAGAAGAAACTCATGCTCAGACAGAAGGTGTGGAGTCTGAGGAAGAAGAGGACACGGAAGAGCTTAATTTGAGTTTCTTAGAGGAACACCTCAAGCCATCATATGGGAAGGCAAAAAGCCATAATGTTCTGCAAAACCCTCATGCGAAAAGCCTATTTAAAACACAGGTTTCGTCCAACTTTTCATCACTGGGGTTGCCGGCCTACAGTGAAAACTCGGACCCAACAGACCACCTGAGCGCTTTCATGCTCAAAATGCAGCTCATCAACGCCTCGAATGCCGACTTATGCAAAGCATTCCCGGTCACGTTCAGCGGTCAGTGCATGACTTGGTACACTTCCCTCCCCAAAGGAATAATCGAGAGCTTTGAGCAGATCGCCATGCTCTTCTGGTCCAAGTTCGCGTCTCAAAGGAGAAGGAAGCTCACGATGTCAACGCTTATCAACTGCAGACAAGGAGGAGAGAAGACGCTAATGGACATCTACGATAGATGGAATACCATATCATGTGAAGTGCAAGAGATCTCCCCAAGTGTGGCGGCGGGTAATTAACGGATGTCAACGCATAGTCGCGAATTGAAAAGAGCGCTCATAAAGAAGGAGCACAGTTTGGGGTCTTGGCCAGACCTAGACCGCATTGTAAGGAAGACGATTGTGTTAGAAGAAACGTTGACAACATATGATAGTGTGAAGTTCGTCAACCCCGGAATAGAAAAGACAGATAAAAGAAGGGAAGATAAGACAGAGAAAAGAGGACGCACATCAGATAGACGAAATTACAAGTCCTGGTACACAAATCGAGACGGCAGACGTGAAGTGTTCACAGCTGACAAAGAAGAAGGGCACCGAGAAAGGGGTAGGTCAAAAGACGCGCATCATACACAAAGAAGAGAGGATGATCGAAAATGATGCGATTGGCACCAAATGGCAACTCACAACACCACAGAGTGTCGTGAGTTTAGAGCTAGTCTCAAGTATGTAGCATCGGGGTCTTGAAGAACCGCCTAGACACACGACCTCGCAACCGAGAGAGAGTACAAGAAAGGAAAAGGTCGCCAAGGCTGAGAAAAAAAATCTCATACACCCAGATGTAAGAGATCAAGATCGCCA